TTACTCCGACAAATGAATCTAAACAATCGAAACCTGCCACACCTTATGCTTTTATGACTGCCGAAGCTAGAAGAGAGATTATCAAGGTATTATCGTGCCACGTTGAACTTTTCATCACTTGGAGAAAATACACCTTACTTTTTTAGAATAGCGTTCAACGCCTATCTAAGCCGAAAAATGCGAATGCCGGTGTATGTCGAAAAGCTAATTCCGTAAGTTATTAAAATACGTTGCTTATGCTCAGTTTTCATGTTCTCGGCAAAACGCCTTTTTCATTAACAAAATGCATTTTTAGACAAAATATATGTTTTCCATAATGTGTCAACTGTTACTAGTTGCGCAGACATTTAATATAAGCGCTCTTCTAATAAGATACCTTTTTGAATACACATCACATTTGCTACAGGGTCAAAGGGTAGAATGTTGCATGAAAGTAGTTTTATTTGACATATGCTCACGCTTCTCAGGAAAGGAGTACTCCATTGTCACCTTATCCATTAACTGGTGATGATACTACAGTTGTTATCGAGCCCTCTACTCCTTTCGAACCAATTGGTAAGTACAACGATACAATAAAAAAGAAGCATGCATAAAATTTTGAGGATTTTTTCTTCTTCCTCCTATTATTTCCTGTTTACCATAGATCTTACTTGCGTACGCTTTACTGCGCTTCAGATCCATCTCGTATGATGTTCCCTGATGTGAGCAAGAGCTGCACAGCGCGCCGTGTACCACAACCTAGAATTCCAAGAAACCTTTCATCGAGGCAAACTCTATTCTCTAATGGAAACGATGTTATTATCTTTTATTGTTCAGGTGCATATGAGTGATTCTCATTCTAGTATTTAAGAAAACGCCTGAACACGTTCGCACTAATTTGCTGAAACGGGCGGGTGACTATAAGCCAAACAAAGATGCTGGAGAAGCCACGCATGCCTTGGAGCCGAAAATTCTTTCTGAGGCCATGACAAGTGCATTGACCGATGCCCCAACTGTTGCCATCAACGAACTGAGTCTCATCGAAGGAAGCTTGACAGTACCTCCTCCGCCGCCTCCTACTGCAGCAGACACGTCTTGTATCGTGAGTTCTGAATAGC